TCCTCCTCTACAGGTTAATCTGGGAGAGGCTGGAGCCAGCAAAGGATGGGGTAGTTCAGTCCTGGTTTTCAGTCTGCGACTCTCTCCCCACTCAGTACAGAGACCCCAGCCCCTAAACTGGCCCCCTACTCAGGCACTGGAGGGGCCTCTAGACCTTATCAGATGATGGTCCCCAAACCAGGGACTCTGGAGACACCCAGACCTCTTTTTTCCCTTTCACTGAGAGTGCTGGGGGATGGAGGGGAGGGAAGGGGAGCCCTCAGGTGACCAGAAAGTGTGGATTCAGGGTTGGACTAGAAAAGTCTCAGAGGGAGCCAGTAATTCTAGTCTTGACAGACTCTGCAGGGTTCCCTGGGACCTTCTCAATCTTTTGAACCAGAGGTCTCAAACTGGCAACCTCTAGTCCAAATAGGAGTGTTTAGTTTGGTCAGCATAGTGGGTTCCCCTCCACTAAACTTGAATTTCTGTGCCTTGAGGCAGGGCATGTACGCATCTGTTTGCCAGAGTCTCTGCCATTCCTTATTGTCTAGCACTTCTATGTTCTTGTTTTCATTACCTGAAGGCATTGAGTTGGCAGTTCATGTACCCTGCCCTAGAATGCCTTCTCCCCACTGTCCTCCAGCAGGGAAGGACCTGGGAACTTCAGCCCTTGGGAGGGCACTAGGTCTACCAGCCCAGGCCTTTCTTGGACACGTCGGTCCTCTTTGGTCCTCAACCTGAGACCTGGAGGTCCCCCAGGCCTTACCCTCCTGTCTGAGTTCCTAACGCTCCTGGGTAACAAATACTGTATGAAGCATAGGCAGTGCAGGCAGCTGGCTAGGGGTAAGGCAGATTTGGGGGAGACACAGAATGAGGCAGATGAGAAGACAGACCTTTGTTGGGGAGCCCTGTGCTGAGGAAACGGATGGAGGTCTGGGCTGTTCAGCTGGGGTAACAGTTACAAGGCACATGGTACATCAGTGCATGGGGATGCAGTGAGGATTGAATGGTGCCTGGAGAGGTTTGGGGAGCTGTTAGCAGCCTATAGGGGCCAGTTCATGGGACACTGGAGGGCTAAGAGCTTAAGAGACAGAAGTCTGCTCTGGGAATGGGGACCTAGGATATTTGGTTCCCAGAATGGCCTGTTCTCTTCAGTTCCTGGCAGAATTAGGACAGACCCTACTACCTCTCACCCCATCAAGTTAGTTCATACTGATTTCCTGTATGAACTTGGACAAGCCCTTCCATCACTCCGGGCCCGTTTCTCCTGTGCAATGTTATTGTTTAGTGCTGTTGAGTCAGTTCTGACCCTTAAGGACCCTGTGTAGGGTTTCTGAGGAGTTGCTGGTGGGTTTGAACTTCTGACCTTGTGGTTGGGAGTCCTGTGTAATGAGTACACAGAATTCATAAAAATGACCAAGCTCGCTGGTCTGTTAAAGACTGGAGGAGCCCTCGGGACTATTGCCGTAAGTCACTCCTCTAACATGTAACCAAAGTCACTCGGGAGGCTACCTTTCAACCAAATAATAGAAAATTAATACCACCTCCGAGAACAATCAACTACATGATATTAAAGGGCAATATCTACCCCAAAATAAAGAGGCAAGGAGAGGCAGGGAAACCGGAGGAATGAAAACAGGGAGCCAAACTGGAAATGGGAAGAACACTGCCACATTGCAGAGACCGCAACCAATGTCTCAAAACAATTTGTGAATGAGTTATTGAATAGAAAATGAACCCACTGTGTAAACTTTCACCTAAAACACAATATACATTTAAAAATCAACAAATAACAGTGTGCAGGGCAGTTGGCCCCATGGACCCCATAGACTCCTTTGGGCCGTGGCTCTGGGACCTTCTCTCAACACCAGGATCTGGTAGGGATTCTGGGAAGGAACTGAGTGAGCATCTAGGTAGGGGTGGGGTAAGGGACTGGGAAGCAGGAGGTAGGGACCCAGGAGGTCCAATTCTGGCAGGGAAGAGAGAAACCAGCTGAGGTAGATTGTGTCACAGGAAAACAATAGGACAGCTTGAGTGGGGTGGTGTCCCTTTCCTGACCCTGACTCTTCTAGCCCAGGGAGCAAGGGGACCTGCAGGGACAACATGAAGTGTGGGGTCAGGCCAGGGGCAGGGTGATCACAGGCCCCAGCGGGATGGGGTTCTGAGTTCCAGGATAGGATGTCCTGAAAGGACTTAGCTTTCTTTCCTGAGGGTGTAGGTACTCACAGACGCTCCTAGGGCTTTTGGATTATGACCATTTCTCAGGCCGGGATATTCCTGTTGATAGGGCCCATGTGGGAAGGTTGTGTGGGTTTGAGATGTGGGAAGGACTGGGGTAGGTCCAGATATATGGCTTCCCTGCACGTCTCAAGCATGCCTAGCACTCCCAGATCACGGCTACAGCCTAGGGGTCTCCTGGAGTTACTTGTAAGGGATTCTCAGCTCCTAGGAAGTTATTTTTAATGTTTCCTCCTAGTGTGTTGGACATTGGGCATCCAGATAAGCCACTCTAGGACACTGAAAAAGAATTGCCAAGGGTGACCCTCATGTCGTTTCTCTGAGCCTCAGGTTCCCTCACCTGTAAGATGGGTTGAAAACACCTCCCTTGTAAGAATATTGCAAGTGAGGGAGAAGTGAAGCCACATGGGGTAAAAATTCCTGGCACAAAGTCAACCCTGGAGAAATAGCTAGTTCTGGGGCCATGTCTTCAATGCTTCTGATGCACTAAGGGCTTGTATTTATGTGGGACTGGTCAAGGAATTGGCCTCTGAAGACAAACTTGGACAGACAATGAGGGTGGGTGAACCCACCAAAGTGGTTCTGAATTAGCCTTGGGCCTTCCCTGACTACCCATCACTCTTGAGACTTCTGAGGGGACCAGAGAAGTAGAGGAATAAAAGATGGAAAATCATTCTTTATGCGTTGGTGGGAGGGATGCACACATTGCGTCAGCCTGTGTGGGTGTCTATATAGGCACCTGTGGTGCCAGGGGCGTGGGGTGACTTGTATTAGGGTGTGATTTGCAGTTGTGTGTGTGTTTGTGTGTGTGGACAGTCCTGCCCTCTCTGCCTTTGAGGTCATCCTGCATCCTGAATGTGACCCTCTGCTACATTCTCAGAAAATTCACCATCACCTCTTACCATCTGATAGCATAGTCAGGAATCCGGGACCTGGGAAAGCAGCTGCCACTCTGGGTCTGTTTTCCCTCTGTAACCTAAGGGAGGATGACCCAGCGAGGGTTAAGTGTCCCTTTGATTTGCATAGTCTGTGGTTCTTACTGTCCACCTCACCACCCCTCCACAGCCAAAGTCCACATCTGTCATTAACATCACCTGCGACCCCCTCCTTTTGAACATATATTAGTTGGCATGAGGGAGAGGGGAGATGGACTGGGTGTGTTCTACATCACGCCACGAGGTTCTGTCCCCTCATCCACAGATATTGCTTACTTCCCTGCTCCCACATTCCTCTCCCATTCAGGGTTGCTTATCCTGGGTTGGGGAAGGACCCATGGTGAGTGGTCCCATGGGCACCCCAGGATGTTCTGGGCCATGGGAATGGACTACAAGTCCTGGGGAGTTGTCTGATTTGAGGCAAAAAAAGTTAGTTTCCCAGATGCTGCCTCAGGGAGCAACATCTGCAGGGTGGCTGAGAGCCAGGATTCCTGTCACGTCCCTGGTGCTAATTCTTTCCAGCTGGGAAAGAGTTGGCAGCTGAAATGCCTCAGGGGTTTTGAGGACAATTTTCTCTTGGGAAGTTGGATGTAGACTAAGGTGGACAGGGGCCTAGAACTTCCCATAAGTTCCAGAAGTCTAGAATTGGAGTACTCATTTCCCAGAATACCCCATTCTAGAGCTGGCTGGGATCTAGAGCTGGTCCCCCACGCATTGTGGCAGGAGTAGGAATCCCCATAGTAGAGTAGCAAGGTCTCCAGGGTCTCTGCCCTTCATAACAGAATTCAGATCCAAAAGTGACTCCCTAGGACATTTTATCAGCAGCATGGTCTAGAACTTAATCTAGAACTAGGCATGTCTTTCTAGAACAGCTCCTCTGCTAAGTGTGCTAGAACTTCACCTATAATTGAACCCAGACAAAATATCTTCCTAGGATGTTTTATCTGTTGAGTGTTCAAGATCTTCGCCTAGAAGAAATGTTCTAGATGCTCATCTAGAACAAAGAATGGCTCTTTGAAACATTTCACCTGAGATGTCTAGAGCCTCATCCATAACAGAGCCCACAACCAAGGGTGTCTCCTGGGAGCTCACTTTTAGAACATCTTTGATGCTCTTAATCATAAATTCCCTCTCCCAGATCTTCAACATCTTCATGCTTCTGCCAGCCTGGACCCCTCAGATGTCTCATGGTTCTTTCTCCTGTCCATCTCCAGTACTGTCAGTAACCTCCCCCCCCAACTTCCCACCCCATCCCAACTCCCTCCTTCAATCCCCCTCTATCCCAGACTCCAGATTCGGACCCCACAGGAACTGTACCAACCTCATCCACAAGATGCTCCAACCTCATCCCACATCTTTCATGGTTTCCTCCATCCTTCTCAGAGATCTCCTCCAACCACAGAGGCAGCCTATCCCCCATGCCCCCTCCCCAAGGTGCACAGGGTCTAGGTCATGGACTTCAGACAGTGCCTTTTCTCTAGCAGGTCCACCAAGGCTGACATATGGGCAATACCAGCCAGAGGAGCAGGTGTAGTTTCCCCAGTACCAGATACTATGGCATGGAGGCCACCATGAGGGTGGGAAACTCATGATTAAGTGTAGCACCAGTTGATTCCCTGGGCCCTGGTTCAGGGGAGCTCAGCGGATGGGCCACAGGGCTGAAAAGGGAGCGTAGAGCTGGGGCCTTCACAAGGCTTCCCTTCCTCTGAAAGACCCAGTGGTGGGACCACTCTACACTTGGACTCACAGATCCACATTCCCTCAGGCCAGTGGCTCTGGAATTCAGGGCTCAACACTATGGTTGATGTGGGATTAGCCACACCTGTCCCTTTTAGAGGGAAGACTGGCCTACACTGTGGTCTCATACTCCAATAGCTCCTGGGAGGTCCCTATGCTCCGGTACTGCAACCTAGGTGTGGCAGGTGAGGAATACTCTAGCGCCAGAATGGTCTTCCGGAGCCTGCGGTCGATAAAATGAGCATCCCATGCTGGGTACTTCTTACGAGGCAAGTCAATCCGAATCACAGGCCCCTCTGTCCGAAAGGTGCGGGCCACTGGCGTGGAAGGCAAGCCAGGCCGTACCTGGAAGACAGGCGGTGTGGGGGTCCCAGCCCGCTCACCTCCCACTGAGGCCCCATCTCTCTCCACTCCTGTAGTCCTTGGCAGGGACCTGGGGGGACTTGTGACAGTGTCAGCTGGTGGGCCACAGGACCCTGTGGTCTCAGAGAAAATACAACCAGGAGCCTGGGGGCCCAGCATGGGCCCATTGGGGTGTAGGAGGCAGTAGTAGACACACATGAAGAATATGCCCAGCGCGAAGCTGGAGGCCACCACACAGACCAAGATGAGTGAGCGGAAGTCGGTGGCAAAGTTGCGGCTGGAATACCAGAAGCCAGTGAGAGCAGCATTCTCAAGCATGACAATGCAGTAGTAGAGGGTCATGCGACGGCGGCTGCGACCCTCCTTGACGTTGAACCAGCAGAAGATGTAGATGATGCCCACCACCATGTTGTAGATGATTTCCTCCCACTTGGACATGCAGAAGTCTGTCTCGCCCTGGATGACCCAGAAGGTCATGATGCACCAGTGGGCCACAATGAAGATGCCAAAGTAGAGCTTGTAGACACTAGCAAAGAGTGCGAAGGCCAGGCCGCGGGCTGCGATGGTAAACAAGTGCCACAGCACCTGGACTACCGCACCCTTGTAGGACAGTGGCTGCTTGTCATCCCTGGAGTCCCGCAGCACCTTCTGATAGGAGGCCAGTGTCCAGGCCAGGGACAGGAGAGAGGCGAAGGCAGAGAAGACTGCGGAGACAGGGCGGGGGCAGGGCGGGTTGGGTTAGGGGTGGGTCTGGGTTGAGGTGTGGGGAGAGGGAAAGGTTCTGGGTCAGGAGCTGAGTTCTGAGGAGGGGAGAGGGAAGGGTCTGTGGATCAGTAGGGGTTTAGGGAGGGTCTGGACTAGGTGGTCTTCAAGAACAAGGATAGAGGTGAGGGTAGACTGGGTTGGGGACTTTTGTGAGGGCTGGGGTAGATGGTGTTGGTTTCCATAAGGGTCTCTGCTATAGGGTCTATACTTGGTAGGAAGAAAGGGGGCGAAATTAGGGTTCAGGTCTCTGGGAGCGGAAGAGGAGGTGAAGAGGGGGCAATGTAGAGGATCTGGAAGGGACAATTAGAAGGTGAGACTATCAGGTACACTAGAGCTGAGCTGATGTGGGGAGTGGGGACCAAGAGAAAATCAAGGTGGAAAAGGTTCCAGTATTGCTTAATATCTTGGGCTAGGAGTCCCCAGCAGAGCTGAGGATGGTGACAGTACATTTTTGGACACAGAGGCTGTTCCATAGCCTCTCCAGCACTGGGTGGAAGGAACAGAACTGCTCCAGGGAGACAAGCATGTGGTTCTTTCTGACGCTGAGTAAGTAAGTCTGGACTGTCGTGCAAGGTCTGGCTAGGCAGGGCATGGGAACCATAGGATAGACAGGTTTTCTGGAGACTGATGAATGGAGCTAGGGAGACCTGGAGTCAGGATGGCTTGTAGAACTGACTGGGCATGGGATTCCCAGGAGGGCCAGAGCAATGTAGATGAAGTACATGGAACGGCATCTCTGCAAGTGGCAGAAACGGGGTTTGCTCTGCCAGGTCTATGAAGATGGGTGAAAAGTGGGTAGCTCCCAGACAGCCTGAGTGGTGGGGAGGGCGGAAGTGCCTGGTAGCTTCTATCACTGAGGGTCAGTGGGCTATGGGCTCTCCAGAGCCTAGGGGTAGGGAGGCAGAGGGCGCGGCTCACCCTGTAGCTGTTGGAACGCGTTGCTGTCGCTGTCGCTGTCGCTACGGTGCAAGATGAGGCTGAGTTGCAGTACCAGCTGCGGCGCGCTGCGCAGGAAGGTCTCCAGCAGGCGCAGCATGCTCACATCTGCGTTCTCGAACAGCATCCGCCAGTAGAAGTGGCGCTGGAGCCGCTCTCCACGCCAGCGGCTCTGCAGCCCCAGGTACAGGGCTCGCAGGTACCTGTGGGAGGCACGCTGCGCTCAGACTTCCGGGCCGCCCCCTGCCTTTCCCACCCGATGCAAACCACCTAGCCAAAGCTCAGAGTGTGGCCCTGGGCAAGTCAAGGGCTCTTCCAGCCTGTTTCCTAAGCAGTGAAATGGGCGTATTGCAAGGATCACCTCATGGGACTGTTGTTGGGAGCACTGAATGGGCTTATTAACTTCAAAACAAAACAAAACAAAGAAACAAAATTGCACGTAGAGTGAATCCCTAATGCAGCGTCAGCATGATCATAAGTCCTATTGGGGGAGAGGGGGTGCTTTCTTGGCAATGTGCCTTACACCTTACAGTGCCCCGAACTTAGAACAAACCAGTTAAAAAGCAGGCAAGTTGACTCCAACTCATAGCAACCCCATGTGTGCCAGAGTGGAAATGGCTGATTTTTTCAGAAGTAGATCAGGCCTGTCTTCTGAGCTGCCTCAATAGCTCTATCACTATCCCCATTTTATTAGTTAAGTGTTGGGCTGCACACTGAAGAGTTGGTGGTTCAAATCTACCCAACTGCTCCATGGGACATGGCAATTTGTTTCTGTAAAGATTAGAGCTAAGGCAACCTTGTGGGGGCAGTTCTGCTTTGTCACATGAGATCCCTACGAGTCAAAAATGGATTCCACAGCACCAAACAACCACGTAGATGAGGAAACAAACACAGAGAGAGGTGGCCGTTGTCCAAGGTCACGTGACTAAAAAGAAACCGTGGAATCAGGATTCAAACCCAGGCAGTCAGGCCTCAGGAGCCACCCTCCAACCATTAAGCAACACTGCCTCTTATTGTTAAGCCATGAAGAGCTTTGGCCACATTGAGGTCCCTGCCCCTGGCACCTGGAGGGACCACCTTTAAGAGACAGTCCCTGGAGCCGGCCCTCAGTTCTGTTTGCTAAGCAGCTTCCTGATCCCACTCAGAGAGCCCAGTTCTCATTGAGGGCACAGGCAAGGTGCTCAAAGATGTGTCCCCTGGCTCAGGAGACTGCCCTTGCCATTCCTCCCAGTCAACTTCATGGCCCCACCCACTCTACGCAGGCCAAACGCAGCAGCCACCAGGTTTCACAGTCTCTCCCTCACTACAGAACTTCTGCACCTGCTGTTTCTCCACTGCTTGGGGAACACACTACCCTGTACCCCAGTTCCACCTCCACCCCACATCTGGATAACCTGCTTTTCTTCCAAGCTATCCAGGAGAACTTGGCCTACTGCCCTTTCAGTGGGGTAGGTTAAGCTCTGGACTGCTAATCAAGAGATTAGTGGCTTGAATTTATCCAGAGGTCCCTCCAAAAAAAGACCTGGTGACCTCCTCCTGAAAAGGTCACTGTATATGAAACACAGTTCTACTCTGCAACACATGGGATAAGTAGGGATTGACTCCCTAGGTGATGTAGATGTTTTCTGCTCCACTACTAACTAACCTAAAGGCTGTCAGTTTCAACTCATCTAGAGGTGCAGAGGAAGAAAGGCCTGGCAGTCTGTTTCCAAAAGGTCACTGGCACAGAAACTCTATGGTGCATGGTTCTACTTTACAACGCATGGGGTTGCCATGAGTCAGAATAGACTCAATAGCAACTGGCTTGGCTTGGTTTCCTAGCTGGGGTAAGGGATCTCTCCAGGGCTTCCCTACAACCCAACATTTGTCATTGTGGCCTATAACTGCCCTATTCAAATCCAACTGTCACCCACACCACACTGTGAGGAGACTGTGAGCTCCAAGAGAATGAGAGATCTGATTGTTCAACCACCACTGTACCCCAGTAGGTACTTGTTTAGTGGTGACTGAATGATGCATGCATAGAGCCTTGGCAACTCTGTAGGTTGTGTGGAAGGGATTCTGAAGCCCTACTTTGCCTCTAATTTGCTGTGTGATCTTGAGCAAGTTCATTACCCTCTCTGAGCACTACCTAGTTAATCCCTCTCAAGGTGGCTCTGAGGATTAGCTGGATAAGAAGGGACATGTCCACACAGTCTTTGGGTCTGACTCCCCCTCTTTGTCCTAGTCCCTTGTCCATCCCAAACAGCTCTGACTATTACAGTTGCAGATCTCCCCAGCCCCAGCCCTAGTCCCAGCCCCAGGTCCCCAAACTCTGTGATTCATGGTGCAAGCATGCTCTTTGTTGCAAGAACTTCTCCAAAAGTAACCTACTCAGTAAACCAGGAGAGACAATCCTAACACAGACTCAGAGGACTTGTTGCCTGAATCTGAAATTGGGGTACCAGGAATTTGGGGTCTAATCCCAGATGTGAAGCACAGGCATTTCTGGGATAATGTTTGGGACAGGGGACCAACCAGGTGGATATTAAATTATGTGTTGCCAACCAAAGGTGGGAAACACAGTGTTCCCTGGTGCTCAGGACTAACTGATACCCTAGCTTCCCTAATGAGGACCAGACCTTTGCAGTTGTGTGGGCTTCGTTTTATCATCTGACAATGAGAGGGATGACTATGGAGATCCTTTCAGAGCTAAAGCCCTGGGACCCAAACTCTTCACCAAAAGTGTTCAGAGATCCCTGGGTGCTAAAAACAGTTGGCACTCAGCTAATAACCCGAAGGCTGGCTGTTTGAACCCACCAAGCAGTGCCGTGTAAGAAAGGTCTGGCAATTTGTTCACAGCTAAGCAAGTCCTATAGAGCAATTCCACGGTCACACACAGGGCTGCCGTGAGTCAGAATCAATTCTTCAGCATTGAGGTTTTTTGTGTTTTTTTTTTGGTCTTTGGTTTCTCCATCCCTGTACAGACAGACAGATCCTCAACATGACACAGTACAGGGTTGGTGACAGCATGAAGAAGGGGGCTACTGCCTCAAAATCAGACTCAGGAAACACAGAGGCCACTTGGTCCAACTCTCCCAACCAGTGTTTGGGTTCCTTTCTCAGTCTTGGGTGCACACCCTCTGTTCACATACTTCCCGGGTCACTGCCTCCTGCGGTTGGACCTTCTCTTCCAAACTGCCCCAAAAGCTGCATTGTCTTTCTTTGGTTGAGCAGAAAATTGTCTCTCCCATCCCTGCTGACCCCACGTAAGAATCCCTGCAACCAGAGTTGGAGGCTAGATTCACCCATTCTCGAAGCAAGCATACTTTGAGCACCTGCTCTGTGTCTTTCTGTCTCTGAGCCCCATGGGAGAGAGACAAGGTAAGAGCTGAAATAGATAGGACTAGATGGAGCAGAACTTTGCCAGGGGGAGGCAATCAGGGAAGACTTCCAGAAGGAAGAAGCATTTTGATCTGGTTTTAAAACATAGGTAGGCATTTGAAGGCATACAAAAGGCAGGCACGCACTCCAGGTGAAAGATTCAGCAGATGTACAGGCAGAGAGGCACAAGAAAACAGTGCCTTTCTGTAGAATGGCTGGTGGTTTGATGGGCCTGGAGGGGAGAGTTTTCGAAAGTAGTGGCACAAGAAGCTGGAACTGTGAAGGGCATCGCATTCTGGGCTAAGGGGTTCAGATTTCATTCCAAATTGGAATTTTTTCTCAGAATCAGGGATGATGTGAACAGTTTGGTGGCTTGGAAAGCTAGCTCTGGAGGCTGGCTTGGAGGAAAGCCAGGGGAGGCTGGGGTCTAGTCCAGGCTTGAAATGACAGACAGGCTGATGTAAGGCAGGGGATAAAGGAGAGGCAGAGGGCAGGGCTGTGAGGGAGCCCACTGTAGGGAGCTAGGGAAGAGGCCAAGATGCTCTTCCCAGAGCGTCTGAGGGGCTCAAAAGACAGACCACTTTCCCCAGCCTCCAGCCTCCCCCTTCTATTCCCTTCTCCATTCCCGTGGCTCTGGCTTCAAACAGGAAGGAGAGACCAGCTGGTCCAATTTGAAGGGGCCTGGGGAGTTAGAGGGAGGGCGACACCCTGAAGTTTCTCTCAGGCTGGAAGACCATCTGTTTCCAGGCCTGGGTCAGCATGAGGGAGGCCCTAGCCAGCCAGCATCCATCACCACCTGACAGGGCCTCCCCACCTCCCTGCCCATTGCCCCCTCCTCTGCTAGCTCCCAATGCCCCAGGTCCAGACAAAGGACTCACATAGCCCAGACCCGACAGGCAGGGCTGGAACAGCAATGGGGGAATGGAAAGAAAGGAAGCCCCCAAAACCAAGAACATGGGATCAGCATGGAATGTGGAGAGACCATGCATGTTCCGAGCTTTCAACCTTCTCTCTGCCTCTTTTGGCAACAGGACCAACACTGTGGCTGTTCTGCCCAGTCGGCGCTAAAGGCTCACTGCCAAGGACCTGCAAGATTTTCATGGACCTTGGAAAATATTTGAGCCTGGGAAAAAAAATTGGCTCTAAAACACAGGGAAAAACTGCAGATTCAAAATTAATAAATGTTTAATTAAATGTCTGCAAAACAGAACATGATGTCAGCCAGTCAACTGCAATTTGGCTTTTATCTGATTATCTATAATTTACATTTGATGTTTGATGTTGCTGCATTCTAATATGCTTGATAGATGTGGGGCCCACAAAGGTCTTAAAACAGTTCTGCTTAGGACAAGCCACCTAGCTTCCCTGGGCCTCGGTTTCCCTGTCTCTAAAATGTGACTGACATTCACCATCTTGCCTATGTCACTGCTACTGGGGTAGGGAACCGAAAGTAAAGAAGGCAATTTTGCTTCCTGGTCCTGCCCTGGCTGCTGTGTGGCCTTGGGTAGCCTCTCCGAGCCTCATTTTCCTCATTGTGAGCATTGGATGAGGTCATGGATTTGGAAACGGTTTGTAAACTGTAGAGGGATGTGCACATAGAAGCAGGGAGCATGCCCTAGCTGGAGGCCTCTGATTCCTCCTCTCTTGTAACCTCCTCCAGAAAGCCCTATTCCATTCTATTTGAAAGGAAGTTGGAAGAAGTTGACCTCCACCATGTATGGGGCTAACACCACCCACAGAGACGGCCCCAATATTAGGGAAAGGAGCTCTTGCTCAATTCCCTGAACTTCATCCCCCTCCAGTCATTCTTTCCACTGCTGCCACCCTGGGCCAGGCCATG